TTAGCTCACTTTTAAAAAAAATTCTTCTCATGATCCATCTAAAAAAGCAGAGCTAACTAAAACTATGGTTTTATAAGAAGCAATGAAAGCTCATTACTAAGAAAATAATAATTATAAAGCTGAATTTTTGCTTCTTGATCATAATAAATCCTAAATTATCACTGCTGATGATGATGCAAATATCCTATTTTGGAGTCCTAATGGAGATCATTCAGATATAATTAAACCATTTGATACCGATTAAGCATTGCAAGTTTAAATTAGTATATCTCATAAGTTTAATTCAATTATCTGCGGTTGTTTTGATGGCAATTCTAGAAAATATTTGATAGCTAAGATTTCACTAGAAGATTAAAAAAAATAAGATATTATAATAGCATTCGGTGTAGATCAACCTACATTAAAATAATTGTAAATCTTAAGTCAAGATTTAATTTTGATTTTAACAAGCAGCTCAACTAACAATATAAATATTTACTCTATTAATTCAGAATAATTTATATAATAAATGAAAAATCTATCAATTGGATCTGCTGTTTTGACAGAATATGGATAAAATAAAGAGAGTGTCTTTTTAACTTATGGAGAATTTAATCAATTAACTTATTATGAAAAATTTAATGAAAAATATGGATCAAGATTTAGATTTGGTAATTCTATAAAAAAATTTTCTTGTCATTATGCCAATATTACAAATTCTAAATTTTTTTCAAAACATCAAATAGATTTAACTAAAATATTTAATTAAGGAGAATCAGTTTGAATGAATATCTATGTATAAATTAAGATATAATGATTATTATTTATAAACTTTTGTTGTTAACTTAAAAAACAAATTTTAATTTAAATATTAATATTAATAGTTATTTTTGAAAATAGGTTTAAAAAATCCATTATCTTTTTAGGACTTAATAATAATTATTCTGAAAACCTATATAAAAAGAATGCAATAGTTGCTCAAAATAAATGAATAACATCTGTATAATTAATTCTGCTGATTTCAATAGTAAATTAATCAGCTTTTTTAACTGATGCCCATGCTCATCTTTTAAATAAACTACATTTTGTAAATTCTTTTTTTTACAAACTATATTTGAATAATTTTTTCTAAATCAATTTATAAACTAATATTTTATATTTTTTAAAGTTTTTATTGAATGAAATTGACTAACTAAAATTTAATTTAAAAACTAATATATTTTATAATATTATTGCTGAAATTTTATAAAATTCAATAACACTAAATTTTCAAATTAACAAAATAATTATCAAAGGTTTTTATTATTAGAAAGTTCATAATATTATTTATTTGATAATAATCTTTACCTTAATTTCAAAAATATTAAGCTAATAATTATCTTTCTTAATCTAATTTTTAAAAACATCTACACTAATCTCCTTTACTTGTAAATTCGCTTATATATATTATTACTTTAATAAAATCAGTTTTTTCTAACTAAAATTTAATTAGAACCATAACTGATTTATTTTTAATTTTTTTTATCCTATTAAAAGAAATTTAATCATTAAAAAATAGTTAATTAATTTATATAAATAAAATTATCATGTAAAATATATATATACTTCTAATAATAAGATGTACTATTATATATCCACAGTTTACAGTCAATTTAATCATTGAATAGTATGTATTTTTAATATTGAAAAATAATATTAGGATGTAGATTATTTTAAACAGAATAAATCTAATATACTTTATAAATAAGTAGAAAATCATTTTTTAGAATTATTTAATTCAATGCATTTATAATATCTCATGTGTTCTTTTTATCTGGAAATATTAATATAATTCATTAACAGTAAATATAATAAAATAATTCAAATGCTCTTTGTGTCATTATTAATGCCTTGTTAACGAAAAGATTAATTTTTAATTATCTCTTCCCCATATATTTCCACTTTTTTTATTCAATTAAAGAGTGAGAAATCAACCGTTTTATCTATAAACATTTTAGAAACTTAAAAACTGTTAGGAAATAATCATTTAAAATTAGTTTATAGATGACTTTTTCCTATTTTTTCATATCTTCAAACTTATTTAGTTTTTTGAATTCCCAACTATATTAAAGAAATTTTAAACTTTAGAGTGTGTCTTAGCATTACTTTATTTTATTACAATTAAGGTTTTCTTATGAAATTGAGAATTTTTAATACAAAAATAACAATAATTAGAAATTATTATAAAAAAGAAATTAATTAGTAAAATAAATTTATATTAATAAATTATATGATTAATTTTAATCTGAAAATATATATATTGAAATCAAAAATTTTATTCTTTTATTTATTTTATGAATTTGATTACAATAATTTATGATAGTTAATAACTGCAAGAAATTAATAGCCCTATAATCTTATTATTTAATCAAATTACTTTAAATATGATTAATCTATTAAATGGAAAATTATATAAATATATTACATTAATTATTAAAATTTAGAAAAAACAATATGATCAACATATTATTGAATGTTAATTTAATACAATTCCTTTAAAATGATGGTACTATGACTCAATGTTAATATATAAGTTTAATATTACAATAGCTGAATAATTCTAATATAAATAGAGTCCTTAAGATTTATATTTATTTCCTTAATGTTTAGATTGAAGGAACAATTTACTTTCTATTATTATTTGTTAAATATATTAATATAAATTATAAATAAAACTAGGATTATAAAATTGGTTTGAATTAATTGGTCATATATTGAAGAAGTAAAATATGATTTGCAAATTAAATTAATGAAAAAATTAGAACTAAAATAGTGTTCTAAACAAGCAAGGTTTCATAAATTGTTAGATGTTGAAAGTGTAAAGGATCAAATGCTTGTTTCATATTAATAGGATTTTCAATTATTAAAACATTTCTTTTCTAATTTTGATCCTGATTATGTTGAATATTTAAAGGACATTTACTCAACTAGTTTTGATGCAATTTACAATACTCAAGAAATATTAAAAATAGTTTAGAGTAGACTTAAACATGGAGAAAAAACATTAAAATAAAGTATTAGAAAGAATTTAATTTAATTACTATAATTAGAATAACCTGTTCCAGCATTAGTATTCTTTTTAAAAATCACACCTACTTCATTTGAAATTCATTACAAAGAAGATCTTTTATTAATACTTGATACTATGCTTTAGAAATTTAATTTTGATTTAAGGTCTGAGATTTACAAAAGTCTATATGATGCATTAATAGAGACTACAGATGAAGAAATCATATTATTAAGTATAAAATTATTAAATTAAAAATTTGATTTCACTAATTAATTCAATTAGAAATAATTTGATATACTAGATTAAATTCATAGTTAGATTAGCATTATTAATTTATAGGAGTCAAAAGATATAATAATATAATTGGTAAAACATTTTAAAGAATTTCATGAAAAATTAAAATACAAAAGGCAAAGCCTTGATTAGGTAAAATCAGAGAAATTTCCTTAATTTGTTTTAAAAGTTGTTTTAATGTTATTAAAAGAGCAAGAAATAGTAATACCAGAATTATTAACCTTTTTATTCTTCAAAGAAACACCTGACAAGAAAAAGTGTATTGCCATAAAATCATAAGTAAAAGAAATTTAAAAGATGTTTGAAATACCAAGAATGAAATCTTGTTTAAATTTATTAAAAATAGATGATAGTATTTTTTCAAAAGGAGCAATAGGTTATGAGTAAGTTTATTCTATTTGTTAAAAAGAATATCCAATATTTCTGAGTTTAAAACTTAATGGAGCTTTAATCTAATATATTGAATTTCTTCATTCGATGACTCATATTAACACAGATTAATTTATATAAGTATTTCACAATACAGCATTTGAAGACTTTTTAACATCAATATGGAATATTTGTGGGAAAGAAATTTAATAATTATTATAGAATATTCTTATAGAAGATTTAGAATATGCTAAATATGGTTCAAATATTTTAAGGATTGGTACATTTCTTTACAGAATCAAATTTAAATTAGAAAAAAAGATTATAAATAACATTGAAAAAGGTGGGGATTTAGAAGAATAATCAATAGAGAGAAGAGCAGATAGTATGAATCCTCTATTTAAGACATTTATCACTTATTTAGTAACTAAACAAATACCATTTCCATTATTACTTAAAACTTTGAAGATGGACTATTATAATTTAAAAATTGGATATAGAATAACTGATATGAGAGAATTAGTAGTAGATCCTAAATTTAAGAATTATATGAAATAATATCATGGAGTAATCTGCAATAAATAAGATCCTGATGAAAATTTAGATCACATTATTACAAGATAATACCCAATAAAATCAAATAATAATGGAAAAAAATATGAATTAAATTGGCCTAGATTAATAAAGAAATAAGTTAAGTTAATTTTTGAAAATAGAGAATTACTACAATAATAATTAATAGAAATTCATTAGAACTAGAATTTTATGAAAGTTTATAATGAATTAATTAAAATAAATGATAATAATAAAAAGAAAATGCAAACTAAAGAAATATTAATAGAATTGGTTGCATATATTAAATCCATTCAAAATTAATAATGATTCAATATTTTATTTATTATATATATTAGTAAATATTTTATTTATTTTTTTTTTATAGCATTACTAATACCTTCCCTTTATGATATTGTATAACAATAATTCAAAAAAAATATAAATATTTAAGTCAATTTTCAAATAGATTTGATTCTAATTTAAGTATCTTAAAAATAATCAATTCTAATTATTCATAAAAATCAGTTATTTGGCTTAATTATAGAATTCAAATCCATATTTAAATAATATAAATTTGATAATCATAAAAACAGTACATCAAGATTGTATCTAACAAAGTATTTTGAAAATCATAGAACTTAAGGTAGACAACCACAAAATATTTGCTTTATTATAGAAATTATTCTATGTTGTTTAATATAATTAACATATATATATATATATATGGATTATCAAATTACAAAATATAAATAATATGCAATAACTAAAATACCCTAGCTTTGATGACATCAAATATTACTAATAATATTCATAGGATCAAGACTTGTAATAACAATTAGTCAGTAAGACAAACAATAACATTAAATATATCCCAGTATTGATCTCTTAATAAACAATAATTAACTATCAACCTTAAGTATAATAATAATACCCATAATATTAATAACATTATGTACATCCCTAACCTGAATAATAAAATCTGAATTTTAATCTTAATCCTGAGGCATCTGATTTACTGAAAGACTAAGATTTTCAAAAATAAAAAGTCTTTTTAGGTCTAATTTTAGGAGTCTACATTTTATGGTCTATTTTATTTGTCTTCCTTATCTGTCCATTAGTTTTTTAGATTATTCAATATAATTTTGAGAGCAATTAAATTTCATTATCTTTAATACTATTATTAGTGTTTTCCTTAACTACAATGATTCTAGCAAAGTTTGGAATTGCAAGAAATAATAGGAGTGTAATATTATTTTATATAAATTATAGACAGCAACCAGTTTAATAATATTATGTGGGTTGGTGTTGAGTTATTCATTGTTTTATTTAACTTTAATTTAGGCATTAGATTCTTTTTTATATACTTAAACATATTAGTGTAGTTTATACTATTTATTTAAGGGGTTTATTAATTTGAAGCAATAATGGGATATTCAATTATAGGAAACTTTATTTTTAATATTATAGTTCTAATTTATTTAATGTTTGCTGAAACTGAACTTAACATGTTTTGTAAGTCATTTTATTATATTTATTAGCTCCAAATATTACTGAATTTTTTATTATTTTGATATTAGCAATTTAATATGATTCAATCTTTTACTATTGTATTTTTACTTCTTAAATATATGCTTTTTGTTTGATGAATGTTTTAAAATAAATCATAAAAGGAAGAGTATAAATTTTATTAAATTTTTATAGTTTCAATTGAAAAAAAATTAAGTATTTGTTGGAGTCATAGCTGCATTCTATGGTTAGATTGGCTGTTTTACTGAATGAATATCAGTTATAATATATATTTCATTTTTATAAATTAAAGGTTTAAAGGACAAATTTTAAATGAAATTAATAAAACTACTACTCTTTATTTTTAATAAGTAATTTAGATATATATGAATATAAAATTTTAAAATTATAAATGTATTTACAATTAATTTTTAAGTTCCAATAATTGTAATATAAATTCAATTATAAATTAGAACTTAAAATTGTTGGAAAATCTCAATTTTTTTTATAATTTTAATTTTTAAGTGGTTAGTATTTGAATTTATATATCTCTTAAAACCTATAAAGATATACTCTAAGAGTTTCATGTATTAGAATGAATTGGTAAATTATAAGTAATTATTTGAATTTATTTTTAATTCAAATTTAACTATAAACATTAATATTTTGATATATGGTGAATAAATAAGTATATTGGTATGTTTTAATGGTACACTCCCATTTATTGTAACCATCCTATTTGTATGTAATTGTTAAATACAAAAAAGATCAATGAAAAATCAGTCCAGAAAAATGTCACTCCAAAGATCAATCAATCATTTCATAAAAAATAGATGAGATTATTTTTTGATACTACCTCTTAATTAATTATGAAAATGATCTCAATAAACTATCATTTTTGAAGGATCCATATTTTTTTTATTCATTTATTTTAAAATTAATCATTGGATCTTCATGGATATCTATACTTTGGAAACTTAAATATGTAAGCATTTTTTAATTACATTAAAATCATCTAAGCAAGTTTAATTTGACGTGAATGTTTAATGAATACCTCCTTGATAATTTTGGTCTTTCATCTAAACTATAATACCATCCAAAATAAAAATAGATTTTATTTTGAAAGGAACATATTTAGATAAAGAAGTCTGATTTCCTGAACATATTTTCCACAAATCTCCCTAAAAATTGCATTCGCTATAAAAATTAACACATGGATCTACAACTTATAAAGTTATATCTCTAATACCCCATGATTCTACAATAAATTTTTTTTTCTTTACCTTCATTATCTGCTTCTAAATTATCAACTAATTAAAAATTTGCTTAATTTTATCCTTTTGGCAACATAAACTAATATGATTTCTTCTCCATTAAATCTGGGTAATGAGAAATTAAACACATGTATGTTCCATCATAGGGAGAATAAGTAATTTTGCCAATTAGAACATTATCTTTGTAAACAAATACTGATTCACCATCCCAAGAATCAAATTTAGCAATAGTAAATGACAGTCTCATCAAGTTTTCTGATGGGCACCAAAACGTTTTTGATATCCTTCTTCCTCCTGTAAATTATCCCATATAAGTTATTCCTTAACATGATACAACTTTATGGGCATTAGTCCAGCCATTATTAAGACAATCAGCTCCAGGTAGTTCTACACAATCTTAATTAAGCAGAATAAGGTTCAAAAATAAGATCTTTATAAATGAAATCAAAACCATTTCTATATTATATATTAGTAATGTTAAAAGAAAAAGTTCTAATCAAGATTAGTTGAAGGAATTTACATAATTCATTAACTTCCTCTTTTTCAAGTATTTGAGTATTGCTTTTTTTAAAAGTAAAATTAATAATTTGGTATTAATAATCCGAATCTCTAGATCATCGTTGTATAATATAATATAGATAAAGTTTATGTTTAATATAATTTTTATAACACTCATATAATTTGTGTTAAGCTATATTTTAACACGTTATGAAACAGGAAATGTTATAGTTATGGTTTCTGGAGGTCATCATATTTTAGAAGATTCAAGATAATATCCAAGATAAATATAAACTGCTATAAATTTTTAGACTGCCTTTGATACTCCACCTGAATTGTTTATATCACCGTATTATCTTGATTGGAGTTTAGAATTACCACATGGATTCCTTGTTAAAGTTACCCTTATAACAAGAAAAGGTAAATTACATAATTCATCATTTTTCAAGGATTTTTATTGAACACACTTGCAGTGTCTGCTTCTATATTTTATGAAATAAGAATTAATTGGTTTGCATTTTAGGATTCAAGAATTTAAGTTATTACATTTTAATAAAATGATGTATAGGAACTTAAAACTGGTTCAGGTGATAGAACAATAAAATTTTCAATAGATCATTAATTAAAAGATGCAACAAACGGATTAATATCTTTGATTGGTATTAAACATACATGGAGTCATCAAATAGTAGAAGTCAAAGTAAATTGTTATTTTATACAATTTAGATTGAATAAGTATATTCATAAACTGTGGATGTTTCTGTTAGTACATATTCAGATTCATAAATAGAATATGTAAGATTTAATATTCTATTGGGTACTGATCAATCCTTATGGTCATCTCTTCCTTAAGCTGAAATTTTCAATCCTCCTTTATATGCAAATTTAGGTCATAATAGTAGATAGGCAACTTTTGTGATACCTTCAATATTTTTGGTTTAAGATAGACTTCCCATATTTGCATATAGAGGATATAAATTTGACAAAGGTGCTAATGTAAGATGTTATATAATCAATGGTCCTTAAACTCCTAATTTAATATATAATTTATTCATATGTATGATAATGATATTATACATTAGGGTACACAACTGTCTCTTATGGTTTTTTTGATCAAGCATCTCTCTATTTTCCAAAACCTAATCTGAAAATTGTTCAACCTAATTGTGCAGAACTCTTTTCTGAATGCGATTATAATGGTGACTCTATTATTATTTGTAATAATATTTCAGATCTATCATAACGTGGATGGACTAAATCAATCAAATCCTTAATGATTTCCACTTAAAAGAAATTATAGCTTTTTAATTAGATTAATTATTAAGGTTAGGCATTAAAAATTATGCAAAACTAACAATGTATGGATTCTCAATCTATACTATCTGTTAAATTTCAGTCTGTAGCTTCTATAATAAAAGTACTATTTATCAATTCCAATTTAAACGACAATAATTGCAAATTTGTTTAATTTTATAGCTAATGCAATTATTAAGGCACTGTTTATTAAATCAAACAAGGAGAGTCATTAGACCGACCAATAAAGATTCCTTTTGAAATTAAGTCAATTAGTATTTGTCCAAATATTCTTGTAAAATTGGCAGACCCATCCTTTTTTTGGGGTGGTAATGAAGTATTTAGCTCTTCACAAACTTGTTTAGATAGCTATAAAGTATTAATTAATCATAATTCATTTTAGTTTCCTTCATACAGAACACCGAACTGAAATTAACAAATATGTGAAAATTCTAGTTTATAAATAAACTATTTATTATAATTATAATTATACACTTACAGAAATTATGTTTGAATAGATACGAAACTTATAAAACTTGGTTTAGAATTTCCTAACTTCTTTCATATATGTCAACATTTTAAATATATTTTGAAATATATGGAGCTTAATATTATATGATACCAATAGTCTTACCTAAATATAATTGATTGAACAAGTTAGTATTTAAACATTTATAAATTATTTTATACTTTAAAATTGAAATATAAACTAGTTTATTTTTGAGTGAAAATTATAATTATATTGTTATCGATAACAAGAAATTAAATAACATTTTCAAAATATCAATTTATATTAAGGCTTTCACTATATATCTTTAATATATAAAACCTCTCTTATTAATTATATTATAAAATTATTAACTATAATAATGTTTAAGAAATTAATTAAGATATAAAATTAAAAGTATAATTTACCAAAAATAATAATTCAGCTAAATCATATTAATACATGTTTAACTATTCTGTTGTTTTCTAAATTTGATTCTTCATAAAATTTTGGATACTCTTTTTCCAAATTAATAAAAATCCTTTATGATCTTTACAATTGATTTTGTTCCAATATTTATACAATAATTTATATTTTAAATTAACTAACTCCTTATTTAAAATAGATGATACCTAATTAAAACAATATATAAGGATGTTTTAAATACTAATTTAATATCTTTTAAAGGCTTTTACCAACTTTGTTAGTATATTATAAACAGCTTCTTAAATAAAATCTATAATTCCATTCCTTATGAAAACCCTAAGAATTATAAATTAACTTCACAGAACTCTATTATTTTATTTTATTTAAATTGTATTAATTATTTGGATTTATATACTGAATCTTTAAATATTCGATATTCTCCAAATTCTCTTTGTATTATCCTTAATTTAAAATAAATATTATTCTTTGATAATTGATTTTAGTATATCTATGAGAATTTTTATCATATTAACATAACTTTTCTTTAAGTTCATATATAAAGAATTCTAAGAAAATTTCAAATTCATCAATTGTTTTACAATCATTTTTACATTAATTATGATTTTATGGATCAAAATTTTATTCCTTACATTTTAAATCTAAGTGCAGAACCCTATAATAAGGGAATCTAAAATTTTTGTCACATCTTTTATTTTGACTTAAAGAGATAAATCATTTGATTGTTCAATAAATATATCTAATATATAATTATTCTAAACATAAAACTCAAATTGATTGTATTGGGGAATTCAAAGTATATTAAATGATAAATAAAGACTATGAATTGAATTGTTAATTTTTAATTTTTAGATGAAAAGTGTAAAGATATATCCCTTGATAGTCATCTTGGAGACCAATTAAATAACAAAAAGTCCATCTTAATTTAATTAATATTAAATTAGCCAAAAAAATGAAATTATTAATAATATTACTACTAAATTTTAATTCATGAAATATATAATTTAAAGTCTGCTATACCCCATGATGCACTTTGATCTGATACATTACTTCTCCAAATTAAGAAAGCATAATCTAAATCATGATCTAATATTATATCTCCTTTGACAACAAAAGTATCCAAATTGGCATCACAAGCTTTTTAAGTATACCAAACAATATTTTATTCCCAAATAGTTTAATTATTAAGAATTAAAGTTAAAATTTTACCATGAAAACTACTTGTGAATAAATAAATAGTAAATTGAATCCTTATTTAAGTATGTGTAACTAAATTTTAGAAAAATCTTCTTATTTACATTTCTGGCTTTAGTTTACCTAATAATGTAACAGAGCTATCACAAACATATTAATTAAGATCATTAGAGAATTAAGTAATCACCCACTGATTCCATTGATTTGAAGCAAAATTAGGGTTAGTTGATAAATCATTAAATAAATCTTTGGATTCCTATCCATTTCGAATTTTGAGTTTAAAATTATATATACCAAATATACCTAAAATAAATGAAATTTATACCATCAGATGTTGTTTATGTTGATTTGATTTAAATGAGAGATAATGTACGGGAATGTGCAATCTTCTTATTATAGAGTATTTAACCATCATTGTCATTAGTACCACAATAACTATATTGATTATCAATAGTTGAAAACTATATTTCATCAATAAGAACTTCATCTAAATAGATTTGAAACTTTTCTGATATGTATTTATCTATTTTTTAAATAATAAACGAAATTTCAATATCTGTATGAGGATCATTAATAGTAAAGAACTTTTAAATTTATGAATTAGTAACTTTAGTTGAATCTAATCCAAAATAAGTTCTACCATTACAAGATAAAATACCACCGAATTCTGGTAGTATAACTTACCAACCATGACCTGCTGTCAAATCCATAGTAGCAATCTATTAAAAATTAACTACTTTAGCTTTCTGTATGCAGTCACTCTTTTCAGGACCTACACATTCATCACAATTAAAGTTAGGTTCTGAATAACATTTTTTAATGTAGACTTAAAAATCTTTTAAAATAAATTGATCTTCAATTATTGGTATTGTAATAGTTTAGCTTCTGAGAGCAAAGGTGATCTTACGTTTTGTGGTTTTTTATGTAAAATCTACTCTTTTTGCCAACTTAATCTATTTTCTAGTATATCGATCATAAGCTTCCCATTAACAGAAATTGACTTGAAAATCTATACTTTTGACATAGAAAGAATAAACTTCCCGTCCATCTATTCGAACTATAATCATAGGTGAAAATCTTGTGTCAGTAAATAAAGTTATAAAATAGAAAACAAATCTAAGTTCATAATGTGGATCCAAAAACAGTGTTATTTAAATATCTTAATTTTAACTAATTGGACCCAATCCTGGAGATAAACAATTTGAATAGGAAATTATATTTAAATCTTTAGGCAGACTCTTAAATAATTCCTTAGAATTGGTTATTTACCAACCATCATTACTTAGATATTTAGAATTAAAACCTAATCCCTAATAATTCAAAATCCATTAAGAACATAGAATTTGAACATCCTTAATTGAGCAAATTTAACATCCAGGAGGACATGGTGTATATTTAATTTTTATATTACGAATTCCCATAGATTTTCTAGTTATAAAGAATCCTGTTTAAAAATTTATTAATAAAAATGGATAACTATGAGAATAGACTCCTTATAAAGTAATTGCTTCATAAAAGATTTCATCATTTGAAGGATTTATTGTATAAACTAAAACAGGTAAAGTGTCTATTGATACTAAGAGTTTTGATATTGAAATTTCAAGCCCTTTTCTAAAACATAACAATTTAAATACATAGCCACATCTGCAGAAAAATAGATTTAACAATGAGGAGGTAAATTCTCAAAAGTTTTAAATGCTCCTGCATATTCACCCAGTATACCTAACCCAACATATTAAACTGCATTTGGATCAGTACACTATCCATCACTAGTCAAACATTCACTTCTTTCTAAATCAGTATTCCTATTCTAACTCATACCTAAAACTGATACAGCATTATTATAATATAACTCATATGTGAATTTCCAGCCTAGATATTACTATTTTTACCATTTATATCAGCAGCTGCAAATCTATTATTAGTAAAGCTTGTGTCTAGATCAATATAAGAATAACTAAAAGGTATAAGAGATATCAAAAATAATAAAAGTATCATATATTATTAATATTAATTGACATAATTTAGCCAAAATTCAATTATTCAATCCAATTATTTTAGAATCAGCTCACTATTTATAATATATTAATAAAATATAATTTATTCATTAATTTTCTTAATTCTTAAATCTAATTTTGAATCATCTTTCTGAATCAATTTAATCAATAACTAGAAATTCTGGATAAACTTTTGTTTTACTTATTTAATCAATATTATTTTAGGTTTCCCTTTTGTCTGAATTTGAGGGAGAGTTCTATAATGATGTAAACTAGATTACATTCTAATCTTTATTTTTATCAATTGATTTAATATCAAATTAATAAATATTTGGCATATTATATCTACCAGGATTGGCTCTGACTATTTTCATGAGATATTATCTAATTTTTTAAAATCGATCTCTAACTCTTCTTTGTTGTTCTCCCCTGTTGGTAAGTAATCTACGACATAACCAATTCTTTTGTTATAATGTTGGAAATTTCTTATTTATCTTTTCCCTAACCTTATCAATATTCTCTTATTGATCTTCCAATTAGGCTAATATAATTTCCCAAAGAATTATGATTATAAAGGTAATATTGATGCTAATCAAAATGATATAGAAAGGCCATATTATCTCTTGGTTATCAGAAGATGAAGCTGAATATATAGTCATTCCAAGAACAATTGAAGTTTCACAAACAAGTGTACTGATTTCATCTATAAAATTCAGATATGATAATTTATAAGGCTTGAATTTCTTGGTTAAAAGTGAATAAATAAAGGTTATAATAAAAATCATGGCGGCCTTAATAATGATTAAATCCTCATAAAAGGTCAAGAATACAATCATGAATCCTTTTTCAAGAATCTTAACAATCTCCCAAAAATAAGCCTTTTGTGAATATTCATTATACAAGTAACCCCAGATCTTCCTGGTCTCTCCATCTGTTAATTTATCTCTCTTTGAATACAGACTCAAAAACATATAAATAGGAATCACTAAAGCAAGACAAAGAGTAGAAGGTAAAATAAAAGTTATCATCCAATTAAAATGGGATTAAGTATCATATCTATAAGCAACATTTCCTTGAATCCAATAGATATCTGAAATCTTCCTAAAAGACAATAACGAGATAAATCCTCCCAATAGAGTAGGTTATAAATATGTGAATAGATATATAGCACTTGTTGTTATGGCACTCTTGTTAGCTCTAGTTAGACTAATCAGAATCCATATAGTGTATAAAGATAAAAAGCTAATGATATATAAAATGGGCATGATAAGAGCCCAGATCATTCTAAAGTAAATGATATCAATGTTTGATATGGTAATCAAGAAACAATCTAATGAAAAACTCATAGATTCTACAGGATTGCTAACAGAACGGATGCTTGATTACAAAACACTTGGTAATTACAATTAAAATGTTGAAATAGCTCCAACAATTTAAAGATAATTGGTCAACACTTTAATTAAAACTCCACCAAATCCTGCCTTTGGATTTTTAGCAAAAATCCTCAATTTAGATAATTTATTATCAAAGTCTATTTTATTTGCAGTATCAACAGTGCCTTTAACTGAAATTAAAATAGAAATCATAGTCCAAAGACTAATTAGACCAATTTTTAGGGTATTATCACCTATATTATCACAACTTCCACATTTATATATTGTACTTGTAGAAAATTTGCCTTCCCCTCTTAAATCATAAATATCACACTATTCACAAAGAGCACCAATATGTGCACTAATACATAAATCATTCCCAGGATTCCAGCCACCTATGCAATTTTCAGGTAAATTTTAACAGTATTCAATAGTATGACTGAATTCATAAGGTCTCCAATAAAATGGTTTTAATTTAACTCTTGCTGCATTAACTTCATCCATAGTTAATTGATTTTTTATCTAACATTATTCTCCTGCCTATATATTATACTAATCGAATTGAGAATCACACAAAACACAAGTGCCATCTGGTTTTTTAAACTCTCCTCTTTTACATGGGAATGTTTATAAATCAATTCTTAAAGAATAATTAGTTTGAAAAGAAGTTAATTAATAAGGTGGATCTTTTGAATATAAACCAATTTATACAGAATTACATTAGATTTCTAATTGCAAATATCCATTATAATTTAAATCTGGATTGAAATATACAATAAGTGAATCTAAATTATAATCTTATGAAGTTTCGTTAAAAGTAACAGTTTTCAAATTTATAAGACTTGAATTATAATCTCCTAATTTTGAATCTAAGATTTAACGACTTTTTAGAGTACATTCAGTTCCAGTTAAGTTTTTAATTCTATCAGATTGTTTGTTTAAAGGGATAATTCTTAAACTAAAATTGTAATTGATAAAACTTTAAGTATTTTCATCATAAAACTAATAGGTAGATATGATTTGTCCACTTGGAACCATGATATATTTATAGACAGCTGAACCTATTGTGTAATTCTTTAATGTGACTTAATCAACAATTTATTCATTAGTATTAATTATTCTCTATGTTAAAAGTTATTAATTTCCTATTTATGCAGTCAATTAAGAAGGATTGTCAGCCATATTATCTCCAAAAAGCTAAGCTTTATTATTTCTTAGATAATTATTTAAAGTCTTAGGATCATTCAACTAATACTTCCCCATGTACAATCCTCCTCCAACATTAGCATTATTGTATGTAATTAACGAATTATATAAATCTAATTTGGAACCCTCTTAATGTTAATAATAGATGGCTCCCCCAGACTATTTTGCAGCATTTTAGTTAAAAATACAATTATTGATAAGAGTATTGACTTAAGAGATAAACAATGCTCCTCCATATGTTGCAGTATTCTCTAAGAAAACACTATCTATAATTTTCACTTCTGCATTGATATTACTAATAGTCTAATCAGATTTTAAAATTCGATTTGAATTTTATATTTGAATAGATTTTACATCCTTAGATGATATGACAACACAACCAAATTTACCACATGTATTATTTTTGAATGTTGAATCTGTTATATAAACCAAATTATTTGACTCTGCATTATCAATATTTGTAATTTAAAATATGCTACTTTCACAACTTGAACAATAATTTTATTCCATATTGAAGGTTTAAAAAGATAGATAATGTAATATAGACACTTGATCAATCTTAAAAATTGTAATCAACTATTGTTTTCCATTAATTATCTTATAAAAATTATAAAGTGAAATTATTTATTTTCTCTAATCAGTATAAAAAATATCTATAGTCTTTGGAACCACAAAATTTGAATTGCATTTATATACAGTATTCACAAGAATCTCTACTTTTTCTTAGGGAACATCTACAGAACCATAAAATTCTATCACATTATCCACAGATATCTCATTTAATTTAATTGTACTATAATATTCTATAACAATTATTATATTAATTACTTTTATTTAGTATTATATTGACAATTGATTCTGACAATATTGTAAAATTCTTAATCTCCACATTTGTTAATATTATTGATTGGCAACCTTAACAATTCAAAAATCCATAATTAAAGATATTTTTATATAAACAATTTTACATTGTAACATTACCTTAATCTATTGAGATTAAATAGTTATTTTTTTGATTCAATATTTCAGTTTGTTTCAGATCTACTATTTCCTCTAAATACCTTAAATAGCCATTGTAAGTATTAATAATTTGAACATTATAAAATTGAATCATAAGTAATAAAGAAGAACTTGTAAAGCTAACTGGTATTCTTAAAAATGGATTCAATAAGGAATATATATTCTAAATGCTAAAATCTGAAAATTAGATTGAATTATTCACCCTAGATGGCTCAATATAAATGCATCCTCCTTCATTTCTACTATATGAATTAGTTACGTTTGTATTCTATATTAATAAGTCTAATTGAGATTAAGATGAGTCTATATACAAAGTACCTCCTTGCGATCTCTCTGAATTCGTTGTTATAGTCTTACAATTTAAAAATTAAGAATTCATCAATCTCAATGAACCTAAAGATTAAGGTATCAAATAAAAAGCTCCTCCAAATAATGCTTGAGTATTGTTAACATATACATTATCCATTAAGATCTCTGAACCTTTTATATAGCCAGCTCCTCCTTTAGAATATATTGGAAATGATTCGATTAAATCTTCCAAATATACCTAATCACTTTATGAGAATCCCCAATTTATATGTTGTGAAAAAGATTAAAATTCTATGTTATTTTGATCTAAAAACTATGAATCTATTAATGAAACTGATTTACCAATCAAAATTAGATTAGAATTTTCTCCATTTGTAACAATGTTGTTTTTAAATACTGAATCTCTCATCTCTACAGTTGAGTAAGGAGTGATTAATAAAATTGTTGAAGATGAAATAAAGGCTATGTCTTCAATATAACTGTGCTGAATATTTTATTCTGATTATATTTTTGAAAAAACTATTGTTTATTCCTGTTCCGATATTATTGCTAGTACCCCTAATTATTCTGATGTTTTAGTAATTAAAAGGATGTTTTAAGTAAATTTACAATTTTATAGAGTAATCTTTTCCTATTGTCTTTTATTTTATTTTTCAATAGATTTTATTAAAATTAAAGGTAAATTTATAGATGTGAGATTAAACACATCTAAATTTTAAATTTCTAAGTTTAGTATATTAAAAAGAAACAACATAGTAGTTTGTCGGACTTCATCTTAAGAAAAAAGACATGATTTTGAAGGATGAAGTATGTTAAATTATTTAATCAATTATCCTTTAAATTAGTCAATAACAACATTCTTTGCATTCTTTATTGTAAATTCAGGCAAATTTAGATTTCTCTCAATGTATACATTACTCAGTTATAATTTTGTTATGTCCAAATAAATTGTAGAGTTTTCTAAAGTAATACTACTCTAAGCTGATGTTTTTTCTAATATCATATCATTTTTAATTAATTTAAGATCAGTAATTATTAGTTCCAACAATCGAAAATTACTACTTTGAATTATTTCAATGAAACCTTTACTACT